ATTTATTTTGTTGGAAATTCTAAAGGGACCAATGTATTTAGGAGACAATTTCCGGGAGGGTCCACTCAACTTAAGATTTCTGGTGCTCAACCATACCAATTCTCCTTCTTCCAACTTGTCTCCTTCCCTCCTTTTCCTGTCCGCAAACAACTTGTATTTTCGTTGAGCTTCTCTAAGTGATTTTGCTACTTCCTCCCAATTCGCCTTCACCTTGTCTGGCCACCCTTCCTCCCCCCACGGTTCCTCCTCCCAACTTGGCAATTTTGGGAATGGGGTGACTTCCATTCCGTATACTATTTCAAAAGGGGACTTTCCTGTGGATGCGTGACATGCTCCATTGTATGCGATTTCTGCAAATGGGAGCAAATCTGCCCAATTGTTTTGGCAATGGTTTGTATATGTCCTTAGGAATAACCCCAATGTCTGTTGTGCGCGCTCAACCCCCCCATTGGTCATGGGATGGAACGCTGAACTCAGGGTCCTTTCTACCCCCATCAACTGCATGAACCTCTCCCAGAATCGTGCCGCAAATTGTACCCCTCGATCGCTGATCACCTGGTCAGGACAGCCATGTAATCGATAGACATGTTTGATAAACAGCTCCGCTAACTTTTCTGCGGATGGTAACTTCGGCAGCGCTATGAAATGTGCCTGCTTCGAGAACAGGTCCATCACTGTCCAAACGTAGCGCTGACCTCGGCTATTGGGGAGCTCGCCCACAAAATCCATGGCAATTACCCTCCAAGGTTTCGAGGGTTCTGCCACCCTCTGTAACAATCCCGTTGGTTTACGTGTGGTTGCCTTATTTTGCGCACATGCATTACATTGGGATATGTACAATTTTGTGTCACTCCTCATCCTGGGCCACCAACATTGGCGTGCCAGTGACTTCAGGGTTTTCGTGACCCCCCAGTGTCCTGCCCCCTTGCCGCCATGGCACCTGACCATCATTTTTCTTCGTAGGTTGATTGGGATGTACAACTTTTTGTTTACAAATCCCAATCTGTCCTTCCATTCCATCTTTTCCTTATTTCTTTCCACCCACTTGTCCTCCTGGCACGCCTGCCTTATCTCCTCCTCCCATCCCCCATCCTTGCTCTCAACTCCCACTAGCCTTTGGCTGCGCTCCGTTTGCGCTCGGGTTTGTACTGCCATGCCCCACTGTTGCTCTGAGAATATGCTCCCCTTTGGGCCTTGCCCCCTCCCTCCATTCTCCGGCATTCTTGACAACGTGTCCGCGACTACGTTTTGTTTCCCCTTATGAAATCGCAGCTTAAAATCAAATCGGCTGAAATACTGCCCCCATCTTATTTGCTTTGCTGACAACTGTCTGGGTGAAGTGAGATACTGCAAGTTTTTATGGTCGGTCCACACCTCAAAAGGTATGCCGCTTCCCTCTAATAAATGTCTCCATGTTTCCAGAGCCCTTAAGATGGATAGAGCCTCCTTTTCCCATACTGGCCAGTTCCGTTCAGTTTCGCTGAACTTTTTTGAGATGAACCCGCAGGGTTTCAACCTCGCTTCCGGATCCCTTTGCATCAATGCTGCCCCATAAGCCCAATCCGATGCGTCACAGTGGATCACGAATGGCTTGGTTAAATCGGGGTGGATTAGCATCGGTTCCTCAGTGAATCTGCGTTTCAGTTCTTCAAATGCCCTTTGGCACTCCGTTGACCAATTTAATTTTGCCCCCGGGGACCGTACCTTTACTGTCTCCCCCTTTCCCTTAGTTTTCAGCAGTTCAGTTAGGGGCAGAGTCACCTGGGCAAAGTTCTCTATGAACCCCCGATAAAAGTTGGCAAATCCCAGGAACGACTGCAATTGCTTGCGTGTTTGTGGGGGTCCCCACCCCCTGACATCCTCCACCTTTGAGGGATCCATTGCTATCCCGCCCTGGGAGATTCGGTACCCCAAGAAGTCTATTTGTTCCCTATTGAATTTGCATTTCGTTAACTTAGCAAACAGCTTTGCTTCCCTCAACTTCTGGAGTACCTCCCTCACCA